GCAGTGGCCGGGGGCCTGCGACCCCTTCCATCCCCCCTCCCCCACGCCCAGCACTGCGAGCCAGCTTTCCTGTTGCATTCCCTGTAATGGGAAGTCATACAGTGTGTTCTCCTTTGTGTCACACGCTGAGTTTTAAAACCAGAATCCCCCCAGAAACGCAGACTGTGTGCACAGAGTATTGAATAATCCGGTCAACACATAGATGCTTAGCCACAGAAACGAGGACATTCTAATAGACTCCTTTTAACTCTGACCTGGGCAAAGTACAAACCGTTTCTGCATTCTGTTCTTCCTTTTACTGTGCGATATGATCTAAGCTGATCTTTCAGCTAAGAAATGAGTGGCTACCCTGAAGTTCCTGTCCATAAAGAAGGAAGAATAAAAATGTAAAGCCACGGTTTTGAGTAGGGGGAATAATAGAAAGGGTTTCATATGAGGTAGTAACTGGTGAGAATAGCCAGAGCTGCCAGCGGAGAAGTGGGACAGGGTGCGTGAGGTGAACAGCGCGAAGCTGACGTGCCCAGCAGTTATTTGCCAGTTGCTCCTCGTTGATTATTTTAAAATGCAGATGGCGCAGTGGGTATATATGAATGGGTTGTCTCTGTGCGATCGTGTATCGCAGTGTCCAAGATGGGTCAGGTGAGAGGCTTCTGCGTCTGGTTGTCACCGCGGCCGTGTCTGGTTTGCTTTAGATGACTTCAGAATGACCTGGGAGACCTGTAAGATAGCCTGGAATGTAGGCGACTTGACTGTACATTATGTACACTTGTTTTTCCCCTAAACAGAGTCTGTTAAGCGCTGGTTCCCCTATCCCTCAATTGCCATTCCCCTTTCCGGCACGCTTCCCTGGTCCTGCTGAGTAGGAAACTGGAACATTAGATTTTTTTTTCTCCATCTATATGAGACTTTTAGGTAGAATTTGTTTTAAATAGGAATATGGAATAACTATAGCCAAGCATACTTTATATAGAATGTGGAAATTAAATTGTCTTGTTCAGAAATACTTTGCCTACTGACAGACTCTGCAGAAGCTGTTCTGCAGGCATAGCGACGGAGGAGCCACCCCTGAGCACCGGGCGGAGTCTCTGCCTCGAGATCTGGGAACAGTTCAATAGACTGCTGGTACCCAGGAGATATGAAGTGATAGGAACTTGACGTGCCTTAATAGAAAACCATAGTGAGTTCCAAATATTGTATAATCTTTTCCTCTATTTAAAATTGTGTAACTCACCAATAAATTTTGAACAGGCAGTTATTAAATATAATTAAATTGCAGGCATTCACACAACAGAACAAAGGGAAGCATTCTCAGCAGGGGAACAAGAGACTAGTGAGACAGCTGTAGAAACTTTCCTTGGGGTGGGGGTGGATTTGAGCCGCTCCTTTAGGCATTGCCTCCTAGAACAATAGAGCATCCAGGAAGGAGACCTTCCTTCAAGGACAAAGACAGGTGTTTCTCCCTCGGACTCACTTCTTTGTCCCACAGTACACTTGATTTAAGCAAGAGTACATGCCTACACTACCTGGACCTACACTTACCAAGTTTAGGTGGAATTCCAGGCTTCTGTGCACCTTCCGTCTACAGGGAAGACTTTGGCCCAAGAAAGAGCAGTGGAACATCAACACCACACAGCTGTGTCGTAGGGTTACGGAAATATTTTAAAGTAATTCTTCCTTCAAGTTACCCACTGCTCTCTTGAAGCAGTTAAAAGCTAGAGGACTCATAGCCCCTGAGACGACTGAGACATTGGTCAGAGCTTTAGTCTTTAAAGCACTCTGAGCCTCATCTCATTTGAATGAAAGAACACCCTTGTGTTAGTCTGCTCTGTCTGCCATGACGAAATTCCACAGCCTGGTGGGCTTAGACGACAAATTTATTTCTCACAGTTCCAGAGGCTGAGAAGTCCCAGATCAAGGTGCCAGTCAGTAGGGTTCCCGGTGAGGCCTGTCTTCCTGGCTTGCAGACGGCCTCTTCCTCTTGTCTTCATGGGATGCTTTCCTTGGGGTGCGCACCTGGGAAGAGACGTCCCTCCTCCTCCTCTTATCAGACCACCAGTTCTGTTGGACTCCACTCTTAGGACCTCAGTTAACCTTAATCACCTCCAAGCCTGTCTCCACATACAGTCACATTGCAGGTCAGGGCTTCAGCATAGGAATTTTGAGGGGACACAGTTCAAGTCTGTAGCAACCCTTCTGAAGTAGATAAGGAAGAGATAACTCGATATACCTAAGGTTGGAAGCTAGTAAAATATTACAGCTAAGGTTCAAATACAGTTATTTTTACCCAGCTGCCTGCTGCCTTCCTTAGTTACAGATACAGTCATGCGCTGCATAACGATATTTGAGTCAACGACGGACGGCATATACGACCGTGGCCCCATAAGATTGTTACCCTACAGGCTAGGTGCATAGAGGCAGTACCATCTAGGTTTGTGTAAGTGCACCCTATGGTGTTCATACAAGGACCAAATCACCTAATGACGCATTTCTCAGAACACATCCCATTGTTCAGCGATTCATGACTGTATAGTTTATCTGACAAGAATTTCCCTATTTCTCACAAAATAGAGGTCGCTAGTTGATCCCAAGAAATAATCAAAACCAACTTCATGGTTGTACATGTTGCACATGTGTGAAAAATAGGATAGATTTTGACTGTTAAAGTTTCTAGGAAGTGATATGTTCTGGATTTTCTAGTCACCTGAAGTCAGATAGCCTTAAAACTGCTGCCAAAAACGGTAAGCTAGGGGTTCCCCCCAGTTTTATTGGGAAATAATTGACATACCTCACTGTTTCACACATACAGCGTGCCGGTTTGATTTACACGTATTGGGAAATGATTACCACAGTAGGTTCAGCCAGCATCCATCGTCTCATACAGATACAATAAAAAGAAAAGAAAGAAAAAAGAAAAAATTCTCCTGATGATGAGAACTCTTAGGATCTGCTGTCTTGCCGTCCGTCTGCGTCCTGCAGCGTGTCAGCCCTGGTCCTCGTGTGCTGCAGTGCCTCCCTCGTTCTCGTTTATCTTACAGCTGGAAGTTCCTACCTTTTGGCCCCTCCTCCAGGCCCCCTCCTCTCTCCTTCCCCTCTGGTAACCAAAAGTTTGATCTCTCTTTTTTTTTTAGATTTCACATATAAGTGAGGTCATATAATATTTGTCTTTCTCCGTCTGACTTATTTCACTTCGCATAATGCCTTCAAGGTCCACCCATGTTGTCGCAAATGGTAAGATTTCCCCATTTCCTATGGCTGAATAACATTCCATTGTACATATATTTACCACAGTGTCTTTGTCCATTCACCTGTCAGTGGACACTTGGGTGGTTTCCATGTCTTGGCTGTCGTGAATATTGCTGCTGTGAAGGTGCAGATGTCTCTTCAACATAGTGTTTTGTTTTCTTTGGCTATATTCTCAGAAGTGGAATTGCTGGGTCACATGGTATTTCTATTTTTGATTTTTTTTGAGGATCCCCCACACTAATTTCCATAGTGACTGCACCAGTTTACATGCCCACCAACAGTGCACAAGTGTTCCCTTTTCTCCACATTTGTTGTCTCTTGTCTTTTTTGATGGTGGCTATTCTAACAGGCGTGAGGTGATATCTCACTGTGGTTTTGATTTGTAATTCTCTAATGATTAGTGATGCTGAGCATCTTTTTATGTACCTCTTGGCTTTTCACATATCTTCTTTGGAGAAGTGTCTGTTCAGATACTCTGCCCATTTTTTAATTGATTTTTTTTTATATTGAGTTGTATGAGTTCTCTATATATTTTAGATATTGACCCTTATCAGATATATGGTTTGCAAATATCCTTCCCCGTTCCATAGGTCTTCACTTTGTTGATGGATTCTTTTGCTGTGCAGAAGCTTTTTAGTTGGATGTGCTCCCACTGTTTATTTTTTATTTTGTTGCTTGTACTTTAGACGTCATATCCAAAAAATCATTACCAAGACCCATGTCAAGGAGCTTTATTCCTGTGTTTTCTTCTGGGAGCTTCGTGGTTTCAGATCTGAAGTTCAAGTCTTTAATCCATTTCTAATTAATTTTTGTGAGTGGTATAAGATAGGGGTCCAGTTTCATTCTTCTCCCTGTGAATATCCAGTTGTCCCAGCACCATTTATTGAAGAGACTGTCTTTTCTCCATTGGGTATTCTTGGCTCCCTTGACAAATATTAGTTGACCATATATGCTCCAGTTTATTTCTGAGCTCTCAGTTATACTCCACTGGTCTATGTGTCTGTTTTCATGCCAGTACCATGCTGTTTTGATGACAGTAGCTTTCTGGTATAGCTTGAAATCAAGAAGCATCATGCCTCCTGCTTTGTTCTTCTTTCTCGGGATTTATTTGGCTATTTGGGGTCTTTTGTGCTTCCATATAAATTTTAGGAGTGTTTTTGCTACTTTTGTACAAAATGCCACTGGAATCTTGATAAGGATTGCACTGAATCTATACGTGGCTCTTGGTAGTTTTGACATTTTAACAATGTTAATTCTTCCAGTCCATGAACATGGGATACCTTTCCGTTTATGTGTATCTTGTTCAATTTATTTCATCAGTGTCCTGTAGTTTTCAGAGTGGAGATCCTTCACCTCCTTGGTTAAATTTGTTCCTAAGTATTTTATTGTTTTTAATGCTATTATAAATGAGATTAATTTCTTTCTCAGAAAATTCATTGTCAGTATATAGAAATGCTACTGATTTTTGGGTGTTAATTTTGTATCCTGCAACTTTACAGAATTCATTAATTAGATCTAACAGTTTTTCGTGGAGTCTTTAGGATTGTCTGTAACATGTCATCTGCAAATAGAGACAGTTTTACTTCTTCCTTCCGATTCTGATATATTTTATTTCTTTTATTTGCCTGATTGATAAGCTAAGTTTTTAAATGGTAAGTAAATTAGAATTGTAGGACCAGGCTGGAGTGCCTTCTTCAGCATTCTTCATGCTTATGATTAAAGTATCAAAATTAAGTGTCTCATTTTATATTTTACAGAAGATGATCTAAGAAATTTGGGACCAGTAGATGCTCAAGTATATCTTGAAGAAATGACTTGGAATGAAGGTATATGACTCATTTCTGGTTATTTGCCTGCTCTAATTAGATGTTAGGTATGGAAGGTTTCATAAAGTTTTCTTTTTTAAACTACTTGGTTTACTCTCCAGCTGTGTAATATGGGAAATAAAGAGGATCACTTTTTCCACCTCTCTTCTGTTGATGTTGAGATGAACTCCTGTTAGGATTTCTGTTGCTCTCTGTGGAATCATAAACTGTCAGGGCAGGCTTTTCAGGTCATGTTGTACTAGCTGGAACTGGGGTCTTATCCTCACGTTGATTATGTCTTCGGAGGAAGAGAAGAATCATCACTCCCTTTAGCCACCATGAATTCATAGTTTTTTCTTTCCTGTTACTGGGATTTTAAAACCTAACTCTAATTTGTCCATTTTTCTGGTGGTCTGTGGATCGCTCTGGTTAGACATGACGTTGGGAAAATGCCTTCTACTAAGTGGAAGCCATCAGGACCACACTTTCATGTTATTCTGGGCAAATGAAGCAAATCTTATTTCTTAGAATTTTTATATACTTTTAACCCTATAACTTTATTGTTCAGCCTGGGGTGCAAATTCCCTAGTGGTTTATAAAAACTTATGGATGAGTGTGGGTAGGCAGAAGATAAGCCCATCCTTCTTGAAACAGAGTTCACTGGAATATTTTTAACGGCAGATTCTTAACTTAGTGCTCTTAGGAAGTTGGGTCACAAGTTGTATTGACGTATGAGGGGAATCGTGCTTTTGCCTGTGGGCCACTCTGCTCCTAAACTGCCAAATGAGTCTAGAGTAGGAATTCTTCCTTGCAGTGGATGGTTGGGAAGCTGGAGGTTCTCTGTGACTGGGGCTCTCAGTGGTGGTGACCGCTTCATCAGGGTAGACAGGGAGAGCTGCTGCTGTGACACGAGTGACACAGGCATTCACTGCTGGCACGGGGATGGACTGCAACACGTTATCACAGAGACACCCAGCAGAGTGTGTTGTTTGAAAATACAGTATTGCTACCTTGCCAATCAGTGTGTGTGTGTTTAATCTCTTATCAGACAAATTAGTTCTTCTTCCTGTAGTTGCTATGATTCATACATTTGTTTACTAATGATTCCTGATAATGTGAAAACTGGTTTTTAGAATTTTTCCTTCTTCAGTAATTATTATAATTAATAATTATATTAATATAATTAATATAAGATTTTATTTTAAATTAAGAATATGGATCCTGGTTCAAGCATCTGTTCACTCAACAAGTATATAAGCTTTCTGATACAAGTGAAAATGCCAAGACACTGAAGGAAATGCACAACGTAAGATCATCAGGTGTTATCAGAAGCATGCTGGTGTCCTTGAGACCCCCTAAAGTAAACCCATCAGCTTCTTGATCCAGGGACACTGTAAAATGATGCATCTGATTACGCTTAAAAGGCAGCCCCGCAGAACTTGTGAGACTAAAGTTCCCGTTTCCCCTTCTAGTTGGTCGGTGTGCAACTTGCTTGTTTCATTTGGCTTCACTTGGTATATTTTAAATGATTTCTGTGAAGATAATCACTGAGTTAGGTGATTGTAGAATAATATAAGAAGAAATTGAGCAAGATGTGCATTTTTAGTGAGCATTAACTTTTGGAATCATCTATGACAAAAATCCACGGTGGCCCATGGTGGCCTCTGCATCTGACGAGCACGTCACCTCATTGTTTCTCAGTGTTTGCTGAGGTGGCAAAAACACAAGAGGGAGATTTAGCTTAAGGAAACCAGTGCTTAGAATATGTACATTTTTAGACAATTTAAAAACAAAACAATTCACTTTGAAAGCATGCTCCACTACATATATATGTTGGCTCAGGGAAGATGCTAACATTTTTTAATTCAAGATTAAATTATTTTTCTTTATGGAGAAAAAGGCATTGTGGTGAAAAATAAAAATCATCCATGCCCACCTACCCCTATTTTATGTGGGACCCCTGCCACAGCATGGCTTGATGAGCGGTGTGTAGGTCTGCATCTGGGATCCAAACAGCCGAACCCTGGGCCACTGAAGTGGAGTGCACGAACTTGATCACTATGCCACCCGACCAGCCCCAGTAACTATTTTTCTTTGACAGTGACTTCTCAGTGACAGTAAACTGGAATGACCAGTGGATCAGAGGTTCTTTCAGTTAAGGGACACGAGCGTTTCAGCTTCCCAGGAAGATGATACACTGAATAAAATCCCCACCATTAAGCTAAGCGTGGCACCACGTTGCCCACTTTGGGCATCTCACTCCACTGATTGTCCTGTTATTCACAAATCAGACCAAAGAAAAACGCCATAGTGTGTGTTTACATATTCGAGTGAGGGTTCTTGAAATAGCGTGGTAGCAGAACAGATGGTAAGTTAGCAGAGTTTTCTCTAAAAGGATATGTTCCAGGCAAAAGTGTGCTCCTTAACAGTAAGACAGGTATGGCTGTTTTCCTTTTTCCTTCACTGTAATATTTTAGACTAACACATTGTTGAGAATAATGTACAATTTATATGAAAAATAAGAACAGAAGATTGAGATAAACGTCATGGGTTGCTTTGGAGCATCTGCTCTCCCCCAGATCTCTGGACTCTTGGTTCATGGCTTCAGCCCCCCTCTCCTACAGATACAGATCCTTTGGTAGATAATTTTTAGAAACGCTGCCCCTAGACAAGAAATTTTCTCAAGTTCTCATTTAGATGCATTTTATATTTGCTGAGCTGCTTTTGTTTTCCAATTTGTTTGGAATAAGGTGTTAAAGTAATTACTTGTAAGCTTTTGAAGCAATATTTTGTTTTCTTTGCAGATGATCACTGTTTTTCTCTGAGTTGCCGATGTGGTGGAAAATACCGTGTTTCCAAGGACGAAGCAGAAGAAGTCACCCTGATCTCTTGTGATACCTGCTCACTAATTGTAGAACTCCTTCCTCGCAGCTGAAATGGTTTAGTAAATGGAAGCCTTTAACTGTGTGTTCACGCCAGCTTTGTCCTTTCAAGCAAAGGTGCACAGCTGATAAAGAAGTAGGATTCCTTTTTTGTCAGCTCTGTTATTTGCACAGAAAATATAAGATTGTTGAGTGAACGCCACCCCAGACTAATAGAAAATTAATTTAGTTATTTATAATTTGTATTTACCAATCACCAAATAAAGGGATTTGGATTATAAATTATATTTAGTGAATTCCCATCTGAGAACTCTGTTATTGGTTTGTTTTCTCCTTCGTACAAAATAAGAATTTTCCTTTTCTACAAATAAGCATGTCTCCTCTTTAATGGGTCACAATATACATTCCTTTCTACAGTCGGGCACCACATGGCAACATTTCAGTCAACAACGGACCACATTTACAGTGATCCCCTAAGATTAGTACCATGTAGCTTCAGTGTGTATTAGGCTGTACCATCTAGGTGTGTGGAAGTGCACGCTGTGATGTTGCACAAGGATAAGATCACCTAATGACACATTTCTCAGAACACATCCCTGTCATTTAAGGACGCCTGACTGCAGTCACTGAGTTTCTAAAGCTGTTTCCAGCTGCTAAAGTTAGAGGCCTGTCGTCCAGCTGCCTCAAGTTCTTAGGTCATTGGGATTAAATTAGAATCTCTGGGAGGACATGTGACCTCCTCCTCCATGATGAAGGCTGAGTGAGCTCAGGAAATTCTCCGAGTTAAGACAGAAGGCAGAGTGGCACATAGAGGCCCAATACTGGCACTGTGTCTCCAGATTCTTCATGGGGCCGTGTTACAGGGAGGAAGCTCTGGGACACTGCCATTCTGAACTTAAAGCGTAATTTAGAAAATGGTAGCTTTAAAAAAAATTGCAACAGGTGCATTATTTTCCTTTTTATTTTTCAGTATTAAAATACAATACTAATGCCTATATTTATGGATAAGGAACCACTGCATTGCTGCTAAGATGAATTGGACTCTTATTGATCATAGCAAACTGTAAAGGTTTTATTTTTCTATATTAATATTCTATCTACAGTGTAAGTCAGAACTCATTTAAAAAACGTTACGGAATCCTTTCCTTTATACGATCACTGAAACTTCCTCACTTTCTCACTTTCAGATGAGTGAGCCAGGCATCTGACTGAGCAGCTTTTGACGAGGTTGAACTCTGGGTGTTGATCGTTGGATTGGATGAATAAAACTAGTGACTATTCTGACTTGCAGATGCAGTTAAAGTCTGAGGCATATTCAAGAGGAGTAGACTACTTTCGTTATACCTATAGAGCCAAACCTTCAAAAGTGAGGTGGTCATCCAGGTTTTCTCCCCTAAAAATATTTTTATATCATAAAATTTAGATGACTGACTTTGGATTACCTTTTTATTCATATATTTTGAACTAATACAGGTTGCAGAGTGTGTGTTGCTTATTCTTTACATTTAACAAAAATAACAAACTGAATAGCAAATAGTTTATTAGTAAATACATGGTTTCAGTGGCAATAATAAAGTCACTTGAGCAGGAGACAGTAATCAAGTCAGAACAAGAAAGGCTCGCTAATCACCGGGAGATCGGTGGCCATTAGGGCTGTCACGCAGAAATCCAAAGTCACTCAGGGGCCAAATCTGTAAAGTCGAAGGGGGTTGAAGACAGTTAACGAAAGCGATGGTGCAGCATCGTCGCTTCCCCTTCTCTCATTCACCCCGTTTCTCTAGGGCAGGTAATTAAGCACGTTCTCCTGCTTCTTCAGTCAAGAACAGCTTTTCTGCATCAAAATAATACTTTAAAAGTAAACGTGTGTGGGTGTGGATGTACATATTTAAACTCTAAAGTCTGGAGCATTCGAACGGTTTACAAGAAATTATATCTGTAGTGTGTGAATATGTCTGTTTTCTTTTACTAAAACTCTCCAATCTAAGTACTTGAATATAACATCTGCTCAAGTGTAAAGACTCTTGTAAACTATCCAACTGCCCATGTGCTCGAGTCTGTTTCTCTCCTTACTACTTGTGACAAAGAGGAGCCAGTGAAAACAGAATCCCTCCTCAGAATTCTGCGCTGAACACACTGTGACACTCGTCGTGTCCGGCAGCGTGACTCCAGAGGCTCCTCTGCAAACACATATGGATATGTGCCAGGGATAGAAATACAGTTGAAAAGTTGGGTGAGAGAGAAATTTTTGGAAATTCAAGCTAAAGGCTTCTTATGCTACAACTAAGGTAGTTTAAACTTTATTATCAGACGAGAAATTATTCTCAATTACCCATCTCAATGTGGTAGGGGTAGGGTTTATAGTTATGAAGGCCGGTATGTTCATAAAATGTAGTCTTTGCAACAGTAAGTCCACTGACAACCTGAAGATGAGTTCAAAGTTCATTTTGAAAGAGACTTTTTTCCAGCTCAAAAAAGCAAGCCTACATTTTAAGCAGAACACAATACCTTAAAGAAGATGCGTCCTCTTATTAGTCCGTAGGGAACAGGTCCATAGTACCTGGAATCTGTAGAATTCTGTAGGTTGTCACCTTCTAACCAGACGTGACCTGTTGGCACCTAGAATTGGAGAAGAGAAGCAGCTTTGAAAAAGAAAAAGCGAATCTGGGAACTATAAAAAAAAAACCATGGCTTTTGGAGGTAGGCAGAAATATCCTAAAGTTCCTTTTATAAAATATACACAAACTGTGTGATTTGCATTTCTGCTTTTATTTCTTGCACAATAAAATAACTTTTATAAATATTAAGGTTTCAACTTTTTAAAGCACCTATCTTTTGCCACATGGTTCCCAAACAATTTGTTACGCAAACCCCAAACTTGAGGTTATAAGAGATAAAAGAGTATGACAGGGTCATTAATTTAATAGACTTCAAAAGAGGCCATCAGGATGCTGACTGGAAACGCACCTCGTGTCTCCGTAACAGCACAAGCAGGGCAGCCGCTGCGCAGCCGCATCCTGGGGCCAGGACCACGGCCAGGCCGCTTCCAGCGCTCGTGATGAACTACACGGTAATTGGCTGTGACATCAATTACACAGAATCTCATCATTTTATTGGAGTGGGCTTGTCAGAATTCTAATTAAGATCCCCATTCTGCCTTTGTACAGGCCGTGTCTGCAATGCATTATACTTCAGTAATGACCAAGAACTAGCAAGACCTATTATGAAATCAGTTGTAAAATTAATGATGGTGACCTTCTGACAAATGAAAGACCCTAACTCCTATACGTCCTATATCTTAACTGGTAAATAGCATCAGTGTAAATGTTTACTCAGTGACAATCACAAGTGTTTAGAACAGAACACATGACTTAAAAACGCCTTCTGTGGTCTGAGACGTTTGCCCAGTAACATTGGTTTAATATAAATTTAAAACATTACTCTATAGCATCAGGCTTTAAAGTAGCATTTTCAAAGTTTTCATTTCACAGTTTTTGTTACCCAAGAAAGTTGAATTATTGGCCAGATCAAAATGATCTATTGAGAAGGAATTAATTTTCACTATTATTTTGAGTAGCTATTGGAAACTTTATGTGAAGAAAAATATTCCTATTGGGTTTAGTAAGAAATGACTGCATTTGTTTTTAAATGTCACAAGTTCCTTTTTTTAGAAAAAAAAAAAGACTTGTTTTAAGAGCAGTTTTGGGTTGACAGCACAATTGAGAGGGAGGCACAGAGATTTCCCATATACCTCTTCCCCACACAAGCACACCCTCCCCCATTATCGACATCCCCCACCAGATGGCACATTGGTTACCAAGGATGAACGTACATTGACGTCATAATCACCCAAAGTCCATAGGTAGGGTTCACTCTTGGTGCTGTCCATTCTATGGGTGTGAACAAATGACACGAATCCACCACTGTAGTATCATACAGAGGGTTTCCTCTGCCTTAGAAATCTCTGTCATCCACCTATTCGTTCTACCCACCCCTGCCCCATATCACCTTTTGGAAAAATACACAAGCACGTAAAATTTGAATTTTACTTTACATCAGAGATTATCACGTAGAATATTTGCCAAGAATGAATCAAGTTAGTTATTTTCATTTAGATACACTTAAATGTTAAATCTCTCTATTTGTAGAGAAAGGACCTGAGTTTCCTGAAAGACTATCAGATACTGTAGGCTCACTCACTTGTATTAGTGGAACTAGTTATAGGTTCTAGGGCCAATAGCAAGTCTAGTTCCTAGCTGTGTAATAAGTAGATTGTGTGCAGTGAAGCATAAGACTGCTCAAGTAGAGAAATGAGTACATCCCAGGTCATAAATGAAAGAAGAACAAAATAGTGTTATTTGGAAATCCATGTGTCATTAACATTAGCCTGAATTACTGCCTTAGGAGAAGCTATAATGTGAACATCTTTCATGTCCAAATTTCCATAGTTTCTCCTTAATAATATGTTTGTTCCTGAGTTCTAAAAACAGGTAATATATATGAATGGTTAAATAAAATCATAAAGTTAGAGACACCAGTAAAAGCAAAAGGAGAGAAAAAAAATTCTAAAAACCAATAGGGCAACATACTAACAATCAAGGAAGATCTTTCTTTGCCCATCCCATTGACCAGAGGCCAGGACCCAAGGTACACGCCATTTCTCCACGCGGCTCTCCCAGCCCTGCCACCCACTCCAAACCCTCCCATTGTTTAGAGTACTTCGCATAGTAAAGGCGGCCTTGCTTGGGTCCCTGATTATGACATCCTATTACCTGAGTGGCTTCTATATAAGTCTTACTACTTTATGACAGAATAAGCCTACACCCAGTAATCATTGTCATGATCTTAATTCTTTATAAACCAAAGTTGGAACTCAAATACTTGATTAATATTAATAAGTAGAAATTCTTGACAAGTGCAGTCACTGGTGGCAGTTACGACTGACATTTCTTCCATGTCAGCTAAACGCAGTGATGAAGTATTAGCTCGTATAATTAACAAGCACAGAAAGGAATCTGCTCAGAGAAACCCCAAACACATCCCCGAAGCCTCTGGAGGCTGCCGACTCTTGGTCCCTGGTTGCAGGGGCGAAGGGAGCAACGAAGAGTGACACACACTAGTGTGTACACAGGCCTTCCGGTTTATTTAACTTAAAAAACCACTCATTTGATCCTTAAAATGACCCGTGAAGTCTGTTACGGATACTTCACTGAAGTGGCGGCAGGGGGCTCGGATATGGGATATGCCACCCCTGGTGAAGCCCACACGCCGAGCAGCCTATGCCCCCACAGGCACTGAGGGGTAACTCCATCTCGGGCGCAGTCCTTGATGTGAGGGACACGGTCGGGGCCCAGCTCATCAGTGAGGGTGCCTT